AAACCATTTCAGGTGACTACCTCTTGAAGCTCATGGAGAGAATGCCAAGAGTGTGCAAAGCAGTAATCAGAGCAAAGGGTGGCTATTTTGAAGAAACTAGAATATAAAACATGTTTTCAGTTATTTCACCTTTTTTTGTTAAGTACATAACTCCACATGTGTTCATTCATAGTTTTGATGCCTTCAGTGAGAATCTACAATGTAAATAGTCATGAAAATAAAGAAAACGCGTTGAATGAGAAGGTGTGTCCAAACTTTTGGCCTGTACTGTACATAGTTCAATTATCTTACAGAGTGTGAGGAAGTATTTTGTTTATGTTTCTACATTTAGAAATCTTTTCAATCCTCATGTTTTGTTTTTTTATTTTGTGAAATCTGATGAAAAAAATATGTCCGACTTCTGTAAAAAAAATGTAATGACACAATATCATACTTTTTTTAATTATTATGGTTTATTGACTTACATAACATTTTAGCTTAAGTTGTACAGATTTTAGGTATATGAAGCATTTAAAGATTCTCCAAGAAATCTCCGCACTGGCAGACAATTTCTGTTGCAGAGTTCAAAGCGTTCAACTGTGACTGGCTGGTTGTAAGGAGGTATGGATTTGCAATACACTCTCACTCCGACCTCTTCACATATCAATGTTTAGTCATGGACTTTCCACGCCAAGACATGTAGTGCACTGTACCTTGGTGTTGACATTCTCACACAGTGTTACATGCACTGTCTGTTTTCAAAATACACACACTACAAAATATACACACTATGTTGATACAACACCGCAAATTGACGTTTTTTTCCCTTCAACAACAAACGCATGTGGTTACATTTAGGCAACAAAAGCACATGGTTGGGTTTTGGAAAAAGAACAGGGTTTGGCTTTACATTCATACAGGGAGTGAATATCCACCATCTTGCTCGCCACCCTACACTCCTCCCCCTTTACACCCGCTCTCCTGTCACAGTAATAGTGTCTTCATATCTCCTCTGGTATATGTATCGAAGGAACTCAAGCTCCACACCAGTGCTCCAGGAGTTTGTCGTAGGTGTAGGCCTCTATGATACTAAATAAATGCAATGAATACTTTTTTGTACTCAAAGTACTCATGTAAAAGTGCTCATGTTACACACAGTGAAAGTAAGAAAAAATAAGAAAAAAATGAGAAAAATGAGAAAAGTAGCAGGAGAGCTGCTGCAATAGACTGCCAGTGTCTCTGTGCCATCTTACCATATAAATCTCTCTAAAAATCACACCGACCCCTTTTTTCATTTTTGATTGTTAGTTCCAACATTTTCTAAGCAGATGTCACATGATAGCACAGAAAAATACTATTTTATTCGGATTACAGCATAAAATGGATTTGGAACTTATTTTTCCACCACAGATCTGGTTCTATACCAATGACATCTTTGAGAATGCGGGTATCCCAGCAGCAGAGATCCAGTATACCACAGCAGGGACTGGAATTATAGAGATCATCGCTGGACTCATTGGGGTAATGTTGCAGCTGTATTTCTATTTTTGGTATTGTGTCTAGAAGGTTATTTTAGTAATTGATTTACATAAAATGATTAAATGGATATCAATCTCATGTCTGTGTGTAACAGAGCTGGATTCAGAATGTGGTAAGCTTAGCTTAGCATAAAGACTGGAAGCAGGTGGAAACAGCTAGCCTGGCTTGATCCCTAGTTCACATCCAAAGCTCTCTGATGAATGATTTCTCATTTTTTTAATACATTGAAAAAAACAACAATGTTTTCCATGCAGTCCGTTGTGGACATACATTTTTTTTGTGACATCTTTTAAGTGGCGAATTTGTCAGAGCTGGAAAGTGTGATTGTCCACAACTCCATCGTCACGGCCCTGTTGTCGCTTCCTCATCCAGTAAACGTATCCCCTGAATGAAACCTTTGAGCTTGGGGAAAAGGAAACAATCCTAAAACACCTCCCTACTCACCTGGTGCAACAAAAATCACCTGGAGCCAGGTCAGGTGAGTAGGGAGGTCTGGATGTGGAAGCATCAACAGGGCTGTGACGATGGAGCTGTGGAAATGTATTTTGTCACAAAAACAACCCCTTAATGTTTGTTATGATTTCCCAAAACTTAGTTAACATTTCTCACCTGTGTGTTGGATGTATGGGCTCCAGCAGATTGACCCGACCGACCGGACGCCATCATCGCAAGCAAAACAGACAATACGCTGCGTTCACAGTGCTATGTGGAAATCGGACATATCAGCACTTAAAATGTGGCTGTTGAACTGCAAAATCTGGCATAATTTATCGCTCTTATACAGCAATTGGTGCTCAGTACTGTCTAAAACAGATTTCTAAATGGAAGTTTGTCACTGGCATCAATTTTTACACTGCCAGTCACATGAATATGGTGTATAGTGTTAAGTGTTAGTCAGAAGGCACTGTCACTCATGATTCCACACTCCTCTCAGTTGAAGCCACACCCCCATGCCACATCAGGGTCAAAAGTCTGAAACTCAAAAAACAGACTTGAAACTGAAAAAAAAAAAAGATCTCGATTTGAAAGTGAAAAAATACAATTTGAAACTGTAAAAAATAAGATCTGAATCTGAAAAGCAATGTACTGCTGTAGAGGGGTCAGCAACAAAACATATTTTAGCCATCTAAAAAAGTCCCGCCTAAAAAAATCAATACCAGTTTAAGGTTACGCTCTATTGAGAGTACTTTCACTGCTTTAATCAAATCAAATCAAATCAAACTTTATTTATATAGCACTTTTCATGCATTAAAAATGCAACTCAAGATAAAAACAATGAAAAATCGGCTCCTCCCACCCCCCCACATATAACACACACACGCACACACGCACGCATGCACACATTCACACACACACACACACACACACACACACACCCACACACACACTGCTCTCTAACTATCAGTATAGTAACATGGTAGGGCACTGAGGCACCAGGTGAATTACAGTAAAAACCACCTATGGGGAGCCATCCACACTGAGATGCGTCACAGCTGACGGCCACAGGGAGTGCCGCCACAGAGACCACCCCAACCTAGATAGGCCGGGGTGGACTCCACACATAGAGCAGAGCTCCCCAGTCCTCCGGGACTGAGGGATCTCCAGGATGACGTCCCCGCGGGCAGACCGGACACACCTCCCAGTGTGGAGGCCCCCCATGAGGAAACACTGGAGCTAAAAACTAAAAGACAATAGGGTAGGATAAAAACAGGCATAAGATAGAATAATGATAAAATGCATAAAAATTTAAAGATTTAGAAAATTTAAAGATTTAAAAAAAATTAAAATAAAGAGTTAAAAATTAATAATAATAAAATGCACAAGGATTTAAAAGTAGATCATTAAGAACAAAGAACAAATAAATAAAATAGAAAATAAAATATAATAAAAGAACAGTAGAAGAAATCAGTTAAAAGCCAAATTAAAAATGTGAGTTGAGCCTCCTTTTAAAAACATCAACAGTCTCTGCAGTCCTGATGCTCTCTGGCAGGCTGTTCCATAAGTGTGGGCCATAATTGCTGAATGCAGCCTCCCCATGGGTTTTTATTTTAACTTTTGGAATGATTAAAAGGCCGGTGCCAGAGGACCTCAGGATCAGCGAGGGTTGATATGATAAAAGCAGGTCAGATAAATAAGATGGCCAAAGACCGTTACGACATTAAAAAACGAATAAAAGAACCTTAAAATCGATCCTGAAACACATGGGGAGCCAATGCAGTGATCTTAAAACCGGTGTAATGTGCGCCTGCCCTCTGGTTTTCATCAGCACAAGTGCAGCTGAGTTTTGAAGTAATTGTGCATTGGAGATTGTCTTTTTGGGAAGACCAGAGAGCAGGGCATTACAATAGTCTAAACGACAAGAGATGAAAGCATGCATCAGCACCTCCGTGTTAGCCTGAGAGAGAAACGGGCGGACTCTGGTGATATTCTTAAGATGATAAAAACCTATCTTTGTTACATTTTTTATGTGTAGAATAAAACTAAATTCAGAGTAAAAAATGACGCCCAGGTTCTTTACACGTTGTGAAGGTTTAAAATCTTGTAGTTTTGGTAAAAGTTTCTCTCTCTTACCTTCAGGACCAATAACTAAGACCTCTGTTTTGTCCTGGTTGAGCTGTAGGAAATTCACTGCCATCCATGACTTGATATCTAAAATACAGTTTAAAAGGGTATCAGTTGGCTTTGTGTCATCAGGAGACACAGCGATGTACAGCTGTGTATCATCTGCGTAACTGTGGAAGCTAGATACCGTGCCTCCTGATGACGTCCCCAAGGGGAAGCATATATAAATTAAAAGGAATTGGACCTAAAATTGACCCTTGGGGCACCCCACACCTAATTTCATGTGTTCTGGAGGAACATGTATCCATACTTACAAAGAAACATTGATCTGTGAGATAAGAGCTGAACCAGTTAAAAACAGTACCAGAGAGGCCGACCAGGTTTCTGAGTCTGCTGAATAAAATGTGGTGATCTACTGTATCAAAAGCAGCACTTAGATCCAGTAGTACCAAGACTGTGAGTTTTTGTGAATCTGCATTATACCTGATGTCATTTAAAATCTTTAAAAGGGCTGTCTCGGTACTGTGGTTCATCCTAAAACCAGATTGATATTTCTCTAAAATATTGTTTCTATTTAAAAAGTCATTTACTTGCTTAAAAACCAGTTTTTCTAAAATCTAACTTAAAAACGGTAAGTTGGATACAGGTCGGTAAGTATTAAGAGTGTTTGGATCTAAATTACTCTTCTTCAGAAGGGGCTTCACCACTGCCATTTTAAAGGAAGTGGGGGAGACACCCATCTGAATCGAGCAATTTACTATATTTAAAATCTGTTCCTCAAAGAATCCATAAAATGTTTTTAAAAATGATGTGGGAATCAGATCTAAAAGGCAAGGTGTTGGGTTTACCTGGGAGAAAACTCGACCAAGTGTCCTTGCATCAACCAGGGCAAAACTCTCCAGTGTTTCCTTGGATAAAAGCCACTGTTCAGGTGTGTTAAGAATTACATTGTGTTGAGATAAAAGACTGGATCTGATATCATCGATTTTACTTCTGAAGTGGTCTGCAAAGTCCTCGCAGAGGGCGTCTGTTGGCATCTTGGATGATTTATTAAAATCAGTGTTGGTTAAAAGATCTATGGTGGAGAAAAGACATTTAGGGTTGTTTTTATTATCTGTGATAAATTTTGAATGTGGGATATTCGTGCCTGTTTGACTGTATTATTGTAGATTTTGAATTGTTCGCGTAATATTTCATAATGAACTGTCAGTTTACCTTAATGTCAGACAGTGATTTTCAACTGGAAAATGAAACCATTCTGTCGTTCTCTTCAAAGCCAGACTACATTGAGAAAAACAGTGATTTAACATTGCTGAACACAGGAGCTGCCTACCTGCTTCCCTGGTGCAACGCATTGACGCCTCTATTCCTCAGTATAGTGGGATAGTAACTGTACATTTATGTGTAAACATAGAAAAACTCCCATTAGCAATGTGAGAACCAGCATTATTTTGGTCACGTCCAGCATTGCATGAAATGTTGCCTTATTTCTGATGCCTCACAGTGCACACTGACATCACAATCTTTACCCAGGACAGTTTCACATTAAGGTCCATTTTCACTCCCCTGAAATACAGTTTGTTTGTGGACAAAAGGCCAAACACAAATTGAAAAAGCTACATATTCAAAAATGTCTGTGGACTAGGCCTAAAACCACAAACTGCAATTATTACTGTCTGTTTGTCAATCAAAAAAGATGTAATATGTTTATCAGAGAACTGTAGAGCTGTTGGTAGGTGTATTGCTGACAGTCAGAGTAGTTGTTCCCACCTGCTTCTTTATGCTAAGCTAGGCTCACCACATCGTGACTCCAGCTCTGTCCTTAAAACACACACTTGAGACTGATTCTATCTTAACATCTGACTCTCAGAAAGAAAGTAAACAAGTGTGTTTCCAAAATATTGAGTTATTCAGATACATTAAGGCTCACTGATGGTGTTGCATCTGTAGTATGTATTAATTTAACAGTGTCTGACAAGATCTCTGTGTCTCCTCCTGTAGTGTTTCTCCATAGAGAAGCTGGGCAGGAGGCCTCTCATGATTGGGGGTTTTTCCGTGATGGGCATCTGCAGTGCGGGAATCACAGTAGCCCTCATTTTACAGGTGGGTGTGTGTGTTTATGTGTGCGTTTCCCTAAATTCTTGAGACCAAAACCTTTTCCAGTACAGGGAGATGAGGATGAAAGGCAAAAGAGACAGTAAGCAAGCTCACATTTCAGCCACTGCTATGTGCCCTTTAGTATCAGCTGAGCTGCTCAGTCAGCCACAGCAGGAATGTAGTTATTTTCTCTGTATGCATTTAAGGAAACATAAAAATGAATCTCAGAAAATGACATACAGTATGGTTATTTCCATTGATTACAATCCCAGTCAGCCTGAGATCCACAGGTGCATTGTGCAGCCCTTACAGCTGTATGTGAGGACTTATATTAGCTATTGTCTCCTACATAAGAAATAAAAGGAGAGTGTTGTATATTAAAAATAAATGTTATAAATTTCCCTGTTTGTTGTTTTCTCTATTGCTCAGTTCAATAGCTTGGTATGCTTAAGCAACTACAGGACTATAGGACAGGACTGACAAATGTTAGCTTGTTCGGTCTAGTGAAACTTGAGGGGTTTAAAAGGTTTGGTGTAAAAGATTTAGGGAGATTTAGTAGCATCTAGTAGTGAGGATTGCAGATTGCAACCAGCTGAAACTTCTCCTGGTTAGAATTCCCTCAGTGTTCATTTTTCAGGAGGTGTTTACCATATGCCAAATTATCCACAGAGGTCTGTTCCTCTCCAAAACAAAAGAACCAGGGGATTTAAACCAGTAAAAACACTGAATAAAGTAGTTTCACATTACAAATCAGTGTTTCTCCAATGCTGTTTGGCATGTCAGAGACGGGCCACTGTCCCACCACCAATGTGTGCTCACCTTGCATTTTCTTATAACCTAGTGTTTGCTCACCTTATTCCTGATCCTGACATTCAGGAGGTTTTAACCATGAGCCAAATGACCACAAAGGTCCTTTTCTCTCCAAAACAAACACCCAATGATTTATACTTGTAAAACTACAGAATAAAGCAGTTTCACGTCAGAAATGAGTGTTTATCTGATGCCGTTTGGAATGTCAGAGATGGCCCGTTAGCCTATCACCTGCTAGACTATGCTTACCTTTTTTCTAGTACTTAAGATATAGATGTTCAAGAGGTCTCTTCCTCGAAAGCAGTTTCACATTTAAATTCTGTTTTTTTCCAACATTGCTCATCATGGAGGGGCTGCTAATTACAGTGGCTGGCACAAAGATGTCCCAATCTAGAGTCAGTGTTTGGTTTGTCTATTCTGGGCAACTGTAGAAACATGGCAGTGCAACATGGTGATCTCCGTAGATGAGGACCTGCTCCTTATATAGATATATATGGCTCATTCTGAGTAAAGGAAAACACACAATTCTTATTCTTTTCTTATTTCTTATTTCAGGTGATTATACACTAAAAAAACATACTAATTATATTATATTATATTATACACAGCTCAAAAAATGAAGGGAACACATCACCCATCCCAGATCTCGATGAATGAAATATTCCAGATGAAAATCTTAATTGATTACATAGTGTAATTCATTGAGAACAAAATAATGTCAGAACAATCCATGGAAACCAAAATCATTAACTCATTTAGGACTGGATTCAGAATCATTCCCAAAATCAAAGTGGAAAAATCAGATCACAGGCTGATCCAACTTCTGTGAATTTCCTCAGGACAACTCATAATGTGGCTCAGTAGTGTGTATGGCCTCCAAGTGCCTGTATACATTCCCTACAACATCTGGGCATGCTCCTGATGAGACGACGGATGGTTTCCTAGGGGATCTCCTCCCAGACCTGGATCAGGGTGTCCGTCAGCTCCTGGACAGTCTGTGGTGTGATGTGGCGGCGGTGGATGCTATGATCCATGATGTCCCAAAGGTGCTCGATTGAATTCAGGTCTGGGGAACAGTCAGGTCAGTCAATAGCATCAATCCAGGAACTGCTGACACACTCCAGCCACATGAAGCCAGGCATTGTCATGCATCAGAAGGAACCCAGGGCCCACGGCACCAGCATATGGTCTGACAATGGGTCTGAGGATCTCATCCTGGTACCTAACAGCAATCAGGGTACCTCTGGCTAGCACATGGAGGTCTGTGCAGCCCTCCAAGAATATGCATCCCCAGACCATCTGTGACACATCACCAAACCGGTCATGCTGGAGGATGTTGCAGGCAGCAGAACATTCTCCACGGCGTCTCCAGACTCTGCCACATCTGTCACATGTGCTCAGTGAGAACATGCTCTCATCTGTGAAGAGAACAGGGCAGTAGCGAATTTTGGCGTTCTCTTGCAAATGTCAATCGGGCTGCACGGTGCCGGGGTGTGAGCACAGGCCCCACTTGTGGACGTCGGGCCCTCATGCCACCCTCATGGAGCCTGTTTCTGACAGTTTGGGCAGAAACATGCACACGAGTGGCCTGCTGGAGGTCATTTTGGAGGGCTCTGGCAGTGCTCCTCCTGTTCCTCCTTGCACAAAGAAGCAGATAGCGGTCCTGCTGCTGGGTTGTTGCCCTCCTTCAGCCCCCTCCACCTCTCCTGGTGTACTGGCCTGTTTCCTGGTATCTCCTCCATGCTCTTGACACTGTGCTGGGAGACACAGCAAACCTTCTGGCCACTGCACGTATGGATGTGCCATCCTGGAGTGGTTGCACTACCCGAGCAACTTCTGTGGCCTGCAGATACCGCCTCATGATACCACTAGTGCTGAGGGCACTGGAAAAATGCAAAACTAGCCAAGAAACAACCAGAAAGGGTGCAGAGAGGGAAATGGTCTGTGGCCACTACCTGCAAAACCATTCCTAAATAGGAGTTGTCTTGGTAATTTTATTTAACCTTTATTTTACCAGGCAGATTTGCTTGAGATCAAATGATCTCTTTTATGAGCAAGGCCTGGCCAAAATGGCAGCATTAGAGAACAAAACATAATAAGACACACATAAAGAAAAAGCACAGACATGAGAAAAAGAGAGAAAGGCCCAGAGTCCTATGGAGGGGTTATGCCCGACAAATACAGTCCGGTGGGGGAAGGGGGAGGAGGAGGAGAGGGCTGGATGGGGCAGAGGAGGTGGTAACAGGGGATCCTGAGGAGGAAAAGTTCATGTTAAACAAAAACTGAAAAAACAGTGCACCACGATACACACTAAACGAACACTTGTGTGATGATAATAAAATAGTATATATATTATGTATAATAATATATTTTGTGTGTGGGTACCCCATTTTTTCCTTCATTGTATGCTCTTGCACTTGGCCTAAAAATTAAAACAAGTATCTCTCTGCATGTAATCCTCATTGATCTATTTAATCTTCACAACCAAAACAGACTGTTTGCATCTGTTAACATAGTGCTGTTTTGCATCTGAACACATTAGACAACATACACACCTCCAGGCAATGTAGAGAGCCCAACGCCTGAAACCCATGCAGACATGAGAACAAACACAGCCCATGCAGACATGAAAACAAACACAGCCCATGCAGACATGAGACCAAACAGCCCATGCAGACATGAGAACAAACAGCCCATGCAGAAAGGCCCCATCTCTTCTTCTTTCAGTCACTTTCCTGTCCTCTCTTCCTCACTTTCTCCAAGTTACTTTCTAGTAGGGGACAAGTGGAAGTGAGGGAGGAGAGGAGGGAAGCAGAGGGAAAGACAAATGAACACATCCCAGATGTTTAACAGGGGAATGAGTGTGGGGAGTAACAGCTGGGCCTGTTTCACTTTCAGTTGGCAGAGCACACTGTATTCCTGCTTTGCCCTGTGGAACAATGCTCTACATGAAGGGCCACGTAGCAGCAAGCTGAGGTGTGAAGCTGTGTTGGAAAGGGATGGAGTCAAGTTTCCAATTAGAGAAAAGAATTAAATGTGATCAGACTGACTTCTCCATGTTGTGCTGTTTCTTCTCCCTGCAGGCTCACCTATCATTCATGCGCTACGTCAGTGTCTGCTGTGTAGTTGGCATCATCGCTGGCTTCTGTATCGGTCCAGGCAAGTTGCTCTATGTTGCATGTTAAAGGACTATAATGATGTGGACTTAATTCAAGCTACGCAGACACATTTGATGGTGGAACCTCCCGTATTGTTTTGCACTACCAATATCCTTCCATGCGGTAAACAGGACACCATTAAACAGACCATATCATTAAGCTGTTCAGGGTATAGTTTTGCTGTCGTTATTCATATTACATTCTGTCAGCGGAGCGATGAACAGATAACTGCAAAGTAAAATAAACAGGAAAAACAGGAAGGAGAATTCCAGGCGTGCACGCCACTACTGTATATTTAATGGAAAAAGAGTTTAACACTTTATAAATACTTTACAAAGAGAAGCACAGAACACACTGCCAGCTACCTTCTAGTACCTTCATCATAATGGAAAGTGCAGATCATTTTCATTAGCTATTAATCTGTTGATTATTATGCATCCGTGCTAGTGAAGGGGTTAAAGGGTTTTTTTGGGGGAGTTTTTCCTTATCCACTGCGAGGATCCTAAGAACAGAGGGATGTCGTATGCTGTAAAGCCCTGTGAGGCAAATTGTGATTTATGATATTGGGCTTTATAAATAAATTGATTGATTGAGTGATTGATAGTTGTGGCCAAAGGCATTATGTTTTCGTGTTGTGCATCTGTCCATGTCATTCTCTTGGACACAATATCTCAGGAACATCTGAAATAAACTTCTTCTAATTTGGCGCAAACGTCCACTTGGATTCAAGAATTATGTTATTGGATTTTGGTGGTCAAAGGTCAAGGTCACTGTGACCTTGCATCCATCTCATTTTTGTGAATACAATATCTCAAAAACACTTTTAGAGAATTTCTTCAGATTTGGCACAAACATCCACTTGGTCTCAACAATAAACTGTTTAGAATTTTTGGGTGAAAGGTCAAGGTCAATATCACCTTGCGTCCATCTCATTTTAATGAACACAATATCTCAAGAGGGTCATGAGGGAATTTCCTCAAACTTTGTACAAATGTCCACATGGACTCAACAATGAACTTATTAGAATTTGGTAGTCAATGGTCAGGGTCAATGTGACCCCACAAAACATGTTTTTGGCCATAAGTCAACAATTACTGCCCTGATCATGACAAAATTGTACACAAATGTCTAATATTTTTCTGGCCATTAATCAATGTCATAACTCAGGAACATAAGGGAAGACGTGTGGTCAGATCAGTAGCTTAAGGTAGTTATGCCAGACCCTAGTGCACGCTATTATGCACATATCATCTTGTCACAATGTCAGAGACTTGACATTAAATAACATCAACATACATATTACCCAGCAATCATAATTGCATATCTGTATATAACAAAAATACAAAAAGAAAATAAGTTAATTTAATTTAACAAGTTTAATAGTTGATTTATAGTTGTAGAATATTTGATTTATAAGATAGTTGATTTGTATATGGGTTTGCCTTTTTCAAGAGCATATATAGCAGATGGCAGTATTTTTAATTACATCAGAATTCTTCTTCCAATACAGGCAGATTTTCAAGATGGCAATTAACAATAAGGGCCTATTCTCCACCCAACACATTGTTGGAGGGGCCACTCTCTCCAGGGCCCCCCACCTCACAGGCCCCAGGGCAACTGCATTACCTGGACTGTCTGTATTTATACCCCAATGTCAGATTCTGAATCTTAGGTGTCCATCTTGAAACTGTGCTGATTGTGTAGATCTTCTGTGCTGCCAGGGGAAGATATGTGTGAAACATCCATGTTTGCACAGACATGAATGTAAACTACAGGTGCAAGTTGACTGGTTCCCAGATGCATACAGCTGCAAGTGATGACTCTAGTTTTGTTTAATTGTTTTTTTCTTCAATACAGTCAATTATTTGGTCCATAAAACATTACAAATGTAACGAATTACAAAAGAGGCCCTGGACACACCCATGCTTTGGTGTTCTTTACAGACCACAAGTAGCATGCATAACGTGAAAATTATGCTAACTGATGAAGAACAGATACATGCAGACCAGCATGTGGATTTTAGCTCCACAACATACAAAGACAAATTTCTATTTGAAAACATCCCTGGTTCTTAATTATTTCATGTGTGCTAAAGTGGTTTTTCAGCTGCCATCCCCTGCAGAGTGGATGAATCCTGTTGATATTTTAGGATATTATTGTTAAATACTGCACTGGCCACGTGTCAACATGATGACATCATGATGCCATTTATTTAGGAAGACAAAATGTGCAAGTTACAGCTGTAACGTGTTACATTTAAGGTGATTCTCCCCTACCTATGTTAAACACACATGTTGGATTGCAATGGTATACAGAATGTATATTATTATCAGTCAGAATGACCCTTAAGGGAATGAAAATGGAATGGTTATTTTTGGTTGAACATACATTTTATTACTATAATTGAAACCTGAAACCATTTTGTTAATAAAAGTATGTGTAAAAATCTCCCCTTTGAAAATAATAACAATAAAGGGGAGATTCTCTGTCAAGCTGCTTTTATTCCCCAAATATCATACATAAGCAAATGTATACGGTATGATAAACAGCAACTTTCATAACACGGTATACCTTAAAACTGGTATATCGCTGCAACCCTACACATGTTTTTCCTATTCAAGCTAGACCTCTCTTAAGTTCAGCTCAATTCCATTCAATTTTATTTGTAAAGCTAACTAAAATAGCAATGAGCAGGAATTCAACTACAGATTCTATTATATGATGGACCACCGCAAAACAAAGTTTAAGTGAGTCATTCTCCACACAGGCAAATGATCTCTTTGGACTTAAAATATGGAAGCACATGCAACAACACCACCAGATATCAGCTCAGCTGCTACAGATAAACTTTTTTTTGGTTAATATCAATGCAAATGAATAAACTGTACATGAATACAACATCACCTAAAGACTGCAGAACCATAAATGCCAATAATACCAGCATCATCGCAAAGTGAATCTCAGCAGCACCAACACAGCAGCAAAGCTGAACTGAGAAATAGCGAACAACAATGCAGCTACAGTATAACTAACCTATTGCCATTAATAAGCAAACAGAACCTGTAGTGAGCCAACAGCTGATCCACAGTTGAGTACACCAGTTGACCTTGAGTCTCAGAAAGTGAACAGCAGGCAGAAGAGGTAATGCACTGTAATTATTTACTCCCTAAATAAGTAATCCAAAAGTGTAAGGTGAACTGGGCCAGTAAAGGGGATTGCAATTAGTGTATCAACAAAGCTTCCAGTGATTCTGCATAACTATAATTGGATGTTACTTGCCACACAGCTTTGAATGAGCATACCATTGTGAAGTATATTGCAAACAACTGATTCCAATTAGCCAATACATGCAAAACCTCAGTGCTCTGCCTGAACTAAAAATGCAAGAAGCTGGAACTTTTTTTTTTTTTTAATTTCTTAAAAAAAAAAAAAAAAAATCCTGCCAGTTCAGTAATCGGCAAATCATTTTAGCTCCTAGTGTGAACTGTCCACAGTGTGTGTTGTGGATGATCCAACATTATCAGGACACTGTCTGATACTGGAATATTTGCAATCATTCCAATTATTCACTACAATGAATTTAGGTGGACACAGATGTCAAATAAAACCAACACTATCTGGCTGGAGAGATACGACTACAGAGAAGTGAAGACGTGTATGTTTGGAATTTCAATCAGATGTGATTGCAGCGGAGAAGGGCTGATTTTGCTCTTTTTTTCTTAAGTACAACACATTTTAAAAATGAAGGTTACTTTATTCTGTACTCTCTGTGTGTCACTTCTGCAATTTCCAGATGATAAACAAAACCTCTGAAATGATTAATATGCAGAAGTTCAGGTTCCTTTGTGTTATTGGATGGCTCCCTCTGGAGGTCATACACTAAAACATCCTAAGAGTTCTGTATTTTCAAGAAAGATAGAGTCCCAGAGCTCAATCTAATTAATTTTCATATTGATGATATGGCTTGTCAAATCTGTAAATTGATACTTTATCAATAGTATTTGCAAGTGTTGATAGCCACCGGAATCACATACTGTACATGCTGTTCACTTACAATGAGTGATAAATATTGTTTTTCTTCATGCAGTTATGCATTCTAACTATCCATGTTCTATGGCTTCCTAATGGATAATATAATGCATAATGCAGTTTTAATGATATAATAATTAAATATTAGTATTGTGTATTGTTTGATATATGACTCTTGCATACACACGCTGGCCTGGCCCTTATCTCATCATCCGTTCTCTAATTAGCCTTTCATAACCCTTATTGGTGTGAAAGATGATGCATTAGCATCAATAATATTTATAGAACTGTTGCTTGCGTAACAGAGGAGACTAATCTGCGCTTCCTTTTTATAAAAATGCACAAGGTACTTGATTTGTGAAAACAAAATGCTGCTTTAACTCTAAAGAATGGAAACCTGAAAGGAAATATGTGCAAAAAATATGTTAAATCTTACAAGATCTGGAGTGACGTCAGATTATTAGATATTTAAGCAATATCACATGGGAGGGAGTGCCGTTGTACTGAAGATCAGCATGGCTGATTCGGTAGTAGGCACGAGGCTGCAGGCCGAGTGCTGAAGATAATCATAATTGTGCTGATATTCAGTGCGACAGCATGACCTCAAGTGTAACATTGCTTTTATACAACAGTTCCACAAGTGGCATTTATCAGCAATAAAAAGCAGCAACAGGTTATGATTTGTTTGTTTATTTAATGATTTATTTGGCCCCGCCAACACAAATAGTTCGGCAACTGGACTGAGACTGGACTGTTGCCAAGCAAAACATAATCATCCCTGCACACTTGCTTGCATCTTTGTGAAAAGTAGGTCTACACTTTACCACAGACCAGCTACTTTGTATCATGTAGGCTACATCTGTACGTTTCCATTTATTTTGTGACCAGTGAAATACATCTGTTAACAGATGACACCCTTCCTCCTTTTCTGATCATACATTATTTAACTGAAATGTTATTTGTGGTAATATGTTTCATTTTGTGGTAAAAGTTTGTTAAGACAGCACAATTTCAGCTAATTAACAATTAACATAATTAATGCCTCAGAACAGCTGTAAAGCAGACTGATTCATGCATAGTTAAGTCCCAGTTGCTGTTATAATGTATATCAGCACTCATGGAATGCTTCCCATCCAATCAAAATGCTACTCAATTAATGTCATCAAATTCTATGTGATTTGACCGGAGATACCTGCTCTGTTGTTGTGGAACATGAACATATAACTCATTATATAGAAATAAATTCAAACAAATTTTTAGTTCTCTCAGTTTGGGGTCAAATATTATAAATTCATTACAGAAAGCCGGCAGATCTACATGTACATTGTGATATTGTTTTGTTGTATGGTTTGTTTGTTTGTTGTTGTTGGTGAGTCTGGTGTGGAGGATTTATATCCTGGAGCCGAAAATTTTCATTAAATTTCATTCATTTCAGAACTGACTGGAAGTGCTGAGCTTGAAATATGTGGGCATAATGAAAGACACAATCACACCGCATTGTGGGATTTGTCAGATCAAGGGTTTTTGGAGCTTCACCCATAAAAGGAACTAAAAGTCATGACATCCCAGCCTCTGCTGCACACATTTTACCCTGCTTTTTAATCTGTGTCTCATGAGCAGTCTAATTGAGGTGCAGTACTAAATTACTAACATGCCCCTTTCAATGAGTTCACTTGGTAACTTTTTTTTTCATGTGCTGTAACTGTCACTTTGTTCACACAGCAATAAATGAGAAATCTATGAAAAACATTATACTCCTCTACCTGCTCTCTTGCCTTGTAGCATGTTTAATGGCCTTACTACATGTGAACAAAAACAACCAATCAGAGCCAAGGAGTGTCTAACACAGCTGTCAATCATGTTATTCACTGCTCATGAACTGTGGTCAAACTGTCAAACTAGGCAGTGCTGATCAAATATGGATCAAGATTCTGTTACTGCATTGCATATTTCTCTCCTCAAACATATTTTAGTGACTGTTTGATTGTAAAATGAGAAAGTCTGTGACCCAGCCGCCATGTTGGGGACAGTTAAACAGAGTATCTAGCGCCGCCCACAGCTGGACCAACTTTCTCATTTTACAGCTTAACAGTACACTAAAATATGGTTCTGACAGTTTAACCACAGTGTCACAGAGTGACTGACATGATTGACAGCTGCTTTAGAGACTCCTTGGCTCTCATTGGTTGTTGCTGACCGTGCCGCTGTCTGATTCTGGCAAATGCCATTAGAGGCAATAGAAAGAGGAGGGACATGATTTTTCACAGACTATCTTGGTGCTTCTCAAAGTCGAGAAAGGATCCTTATTTGGCTAAAGTTCAAGGGTGCTATATCATGGAATCCTGCCAAAAGGACCGAGTTCTCTATTTTCAAGGTCCCTTCCTTGGAAGGACCTGTCCTTCCAAGGAAGCATCCTTGACCCTGTCTCATGCACTCCTTTCAGAATATAGTGACATTTTCAGAAGACAGGATGCAAAGTTACTATCATAAAAGTTACCACCTGTATCTTCAACAGCAGTGTTTGATTTGTATTGATGTTTTTATATTTTGTGCTTTTATCTGTTCCAGCGGGGGTTCCTTTCCTGATCACAGCAGAGCTGTTTAAACAGTCCCACCGCCCGGCGGCCTACATTGTTGGAGGATCACTCAACTGGCTGTCTAACTTCACTGTTGGCTTCGTCTTCCCCTTCTTACAGGTGAAAGCTATACAATGTGCTGCCCTGCATAAGCTTTTCTCTTTTCTAAATGTTAAAACCATTACGAGTGCTCTGGCTTATCAATAACCAAAATTGAATTAATATGTTTTTAATGGTGTGTGTTGTATTATGTCTATTGTATGTACCTCTGCTGTACTTGGGAGGAGCTGAAGGGAAATTTATTCTGAGGTGGACAATAAATTCACTCTAATCTAGTCTAATGTAATCTGAACTGGTTAATCTCATCACTGACTCCCGCCTTGGTCTGGTTCACACAGCTCCCAGTAGAAACTGCTTGTTGTTTCTTTTGAACAGTGACTTTCATTGAATGATCACAGAGCAACTTAAAAGATCAAACAAACAGCAAGTTTTATTTTTCATGCGTCCCATTTGTAGGGTTGACACCTGGGCTCATGCAGGGCAGACTATGCTGTAGTCACATAGCTAGTTTGTAATTTAGTCATGAATAACAGAGTATCTTGTTGTTCTTTGGTCTAAGAATTTCTGCCCTGTCATTTACTGACAGAACTTTTCGAATCTCGTCATCTCTCCAGTTAGACATTTTCGTTGCCATCTTCCTGTACATGGCCCTTCTTCTTCACATTCAAACGTTTGTTTTCTTGCGGCCCTCGTGATATAAACATCATCAACATGCCCACTCGCTTGCTGTGAATTCTCTAGACAGTGCTGTATTCACACATGAGTTCAATCAGACATTACACAGACTCTTCACTTGAGAGCTGACAGGATAAAGTTTGTTCATTGTTTGAAACAACTGATTCAGAAATTTACGTTTTTCACATGCAGCTCCTCCAGATTATGTCTAGATTATTTCAGGTTTGCACTGCATGTGTGAAAAGAGTTTTCCAATTGTTGCATCGTGAGTCCCACCAAGGTCTGTTGATTTTGCAGTCACAAAACTGCACAAAACAGTGTGCTGTGGGAATCAACTGCTCATAATCTGATTCTGAGGCACTGGCTTACTGTGCAGACAGACAAAACTAGGAGACATTCAAAAATGCTGTAAAGCTCCATGAGCTGCATTTGCTCCCTATCAGAGGCCCCGGCACTCACAAGGCACTAAGAGCCCTTTTCCACTGTAGGAAAAAGGATACTTGAAGTTAAATCAAATAACTGAATTAGAGTTATGACTGTCAATCAATCAATCAATTTTATTTATAAAGCCCAATATCACAAATCACAATTTGCCTCACAGGGCTTTACAGCATACGACATCCCTCTGTCCTTATGACCCTCGCAGCGGATAAGGAAAAACTCCCCAAAAAAAACCCTTTAACGGGGAAAAAAACGGTAGAAACCTCAGGAAGAGCAACTGAGGAGGGATCCCTCTTCCAGGACGGACAGACGTGCAATAGATGTCGTACAGAACAGATCAGCATAATAAATTAACAGTAATCCGCATGACACAATGAGACAGA